TTATGTATTATCATGTGCGCTAATTTTTGTAACGAAACAATTGAATTAATTGAAGCGGGGCAGTCTGTGTAGTGCATATATTAAGAGTACAATGTAAAACGAGGTTAGGTGTACCATTACTTTGTAGTGCTCTGCATGAAGAGTATAATGTTGGAACGTATGGACGTCTAGCACTGGATCGCACATTATTACCCGTCTGACCCAAGTAATTAATTGACACCTCTAAATGGCCATGAAAGATATCACCCCATGAAAGATATCACCCCATGAGAGATATCACCCCATGAGAGATATCATCCCGTGAGAGACATATACCACATGATACTACGCGATATCACATGATACCATAATGATACTACATCACAGATACCACATGATGATGCCACATGATATCACGTGATACCATAATAATACTACATGACAGATACCACATGAGATACCATCCCCATGAGAGATACCACATGAGACATACCATCCACATAAAAGATATATACACAACATAATACCACGTGAATAAAATCACATGATATAAAATTAGAGATAGCGCATGAGAAATACCACATGACATCTCCTGCATGCCGAGAGAGGCTACCTCCGGCCCACTAGATCTATTGGTGTTCATAACATATGGCATAACATAACATTCATAACATGCATTCATAACATGCATAACATAACATTCATAACATGCATAACATTCATGGCATATATGTAATCGTGGCACGATTATCACTGTCGACTAGAAAGTTACACACTTTCTTTCTCTACCCGCTTTCTCTCTCGGTATAAGCGGCTCTTCACGGTGCGCCACATTTCAGCGCGGTTCGCCGACTTAAGTCATATATCGATGATGCTTACGAGCTTTATGCGTTGTTGTCTTCGCTTTACTGTGTGCTTGGTGTCTCATTGAACCGCTCGCCTCCCTGGCGCGAGCGAGTGGCACGTTACTAGGCTAAATTGGTCAATTTCGGGTAAACGCCTTAATCACTGCATTTGCCTCCCGCGCATGCATTTCCAACTGACCGCGTAAAGATCTAGCGACAGCTAGCGACAGCTAGTCACAATGTGTGACCGTTATTGTGTACGCTCGACCGTGCACAATTATTTTGTAGACGGCCCTTGCTATCACCACGGCCGAAAATCACTGACTCGGAGTTATAGTGCATGCATAGTGAGGAGAGCGTGCAGCTCTCGCGCGTGACAAGTTAGTAGTTGTCCTCGTGAGTAGCTGCATTTACGGTAGCGAATGACCCTCGTTCGGGTACCCAGTGAACGCGCTTTTTGCGAGCAGAGAGAATAAAAAGCGATAATTAAGAACTTGTACGTGGTTCTCCTAGCTGGTATGAGGAAATGAAATGGTGTGTTATCTTTGAAAGACGAAACAGGCTTTTTTGCGCTGATTCATAATTAGCTCTCGTATCTCTGCTGTCGTACAAAAATCTGTATAGACGGAATAATTTTTATCGTCCCATACTATACGCTCACTCGGCTGTATTTTTTCCCAGATTTTACCTATACAAATACCTGTTTATAGATATGCTCACGATATTATCATGTCGCTAGCGGCAGTTCTGCAGTACCTACAGCATGTCGATGTAGGATGGTGGGCGGGTTCGTTTAGAAATTTTCACTACGCGGCGTCGTTGTTGGTGGGTAAACCGGTCCTAGCTGTCGGTGGGGGCGGTGCGTACGTGCAGCGACTGCTCACGCCGTATCAGAAGCTAGGCGTGCTGCTCCGAATTGAATCGCGTGGTTAGAAACAGATATGCGTTTTTTATTATGTTAGACGGATGAAGTCGTTGCTACGTTATTTCATATGAAACTATTCCGTTACTAAGGCTGAGAGGGTCTATGTCCCCCAGGGTACTGCCGGAACCTCCCTAACCCTAACCCTAACCCTTACCCTAACCATATCAAATAGTTACCAGGGTACGTTCCGATATACCGGACCGTACCCAGGGTACGTTCCGGCAGTACCCTGGGGGACATAGACCCTATGAGCGTTACGAAGTCGTCAACGTGAATAGACCTATATTACCTCTCCCCGTCTTCTTGCTCTCACCCTCTTCGCGCACTTTGCTTCTCTTCTCTCTCATCCCCTCTCCCCGTCCTCCACTCTCTTCTCGCCCGCCCTATATTTTTTTAGTTCACTTTCTCATTCTTCTCTCCTCTTCCGCCTCTCTGGCTCTCTCTCCCTCTCTCTCTCTCGTTTTATTTCCCTTACCCTTCCATGCCCCCTTAGGCTCTCTCGCATCAGCATAATACAGTTTGAGGAATGAGCATTGTAAACTGTAGTGGGCGAAGGTTATTGGGACGCTGTTGTGAATAGGTATTGCCCCAAAGCGATTTAGTATGGTCACGCCTATCAGCTCATCTCGTCCTCGTAAAAAATGACTACCGAAGTAGCAGATTTCTTCGTCAAACATCGCTGGGATGGGCGACGGTAAATATAACAACATCCACCTTTTGCACATAACTGCTCCTCAACTCGCCAGTCTAGGCTATAAGGCGTCGATGTGTGTATGTCAAGGAGGCAGAGAGGGGGATTTAAACAGTAAAACTATTTGTACAGCGCCACATGCCGTTGCGCTTCGCACAGAGATACTTTAACGTGTACATTGATCACGTTTGCCTACTATAAACAACGGTGCAATAAAATAAAGCTGTGTCGCAAATAGTTCGGAACGTTTGTAAATATCATTACTAAGATGGGCTAACATTAGGCTAGATAGTGAACGGGACACGGGTTTAGAAAGATCTGCATTCTCCTACCCTATTAACAGCTTCTTAATGACTGCATAATGCCTTCTTGGCATAATGTCTTCTTGGACATTTATCTTAATTAGAGAGAACAATCATGAAACGATGGGTTTACCCATCAGGTGTGTTTATCGGTACCCTAGGCGCCTACATAATTATAGGTCCTATAACCGTGGTACTATTAGCTAACTATGCGTGCTGCGTAGTTGTTAATGTCGCCTGGGACGCATGGGCGCGCCACGGGTCGTGACAAGAATGCAGCACCGCATAAATTATGCTGTTGAACCACACCTCTCTCCCTCAGTCTGCTTCTCCTGTTTGCAGCCTGGCAAGCACGTACGGGGCTGCTATATGCACCACCGGACGAGGAAACGTTTCGAGGAGGCGTTATGGCCGGTGTCTCTCGCGATTCAGTGATTACAATCGTACTTTCATGTTGCGCCGACGCAATACGTGCGGCGTTTAATATTTAGAATGGCGACCGACATCTTGATCTGTTTCTTAGTTAAGGTACTTGCATAACCAGTCTATAATTATGCGTAACGCAACACTCCGTCGCGGAACATTATCAAATGAGCGTGTGAATGCTTTATATAAGGTCACAAGATCTAGTTATACTGGGTCCATATACACCGTGCAAATAACAAGGGAGCTAGTTTAGTTTAGAATAGCCTGGTTTAAGAAGTCCTTCGGGGTCTTCAATGCGTCGGTTTCGGTTCAAACCACACCAACTAGATAACAAATGTCTCACGCCTGCGATGAAGGGTGGGGTTAAAACTTGCTAGCGCTCATTCATCGCCCGTCTCACCTTTGGTCGATATATTTATCTCTAGTGCTTCGCCGCGTGGGTCGCGACCTGTCATGTGTATGTTAGCTAGGGGCCCGGGTGCGGCTCTCGCGCGTGTGTGTTATAGACGTGGTGGAAGAAGAGGCGTCGCATCTCTCTGACCATGCCGTAAATTCAAACCGCGTGGATTTATTTTGGGCGGAATACGTTCACATAACCAGTTTTACAGCCGATTTAAATCGTCGCTCGCTCTACTGTATGCATTCCTTGGCGTATATGCCACTTCGTATAAACACGTGCGCTGGGTATACCATAACTGTGCACTATAGCGCATTGGGTTTGGAAGAAATGTAAAGCTTACTCAACGTAAGATTTACAAAGGAATATGGGCTGATACTGGCTGGGTTCGTTTAGCAGTCGGTGAAAAGCGGTCGAAGAGATTTCATAAGCGGACCAAATCGGTGAATGTATGAAAAGATTATGCCAGTGACGCGCATGACTATCTGTACGACTTGCACATACATATTCAGCTACTCGCTGGCCATACCGATAGTTTCCGCCTTGCATACATTGCCAACTGTACGCCCGATATGAAGAACGGCTTGCCTTTTCCAACCGGCATAATATTATGTTCCCTAGCTTGAATATAATCACGCATTTTGATGACAGATTTATAGATATGGCTAACTTTCTTGACCGATAGTTGGATTTTCGTGTTTTTCACAATTAAACCATAAGATGGTTAGGAATGGGATTTGAGAAGCTACGGCTATTTAAACCAAGCCTATGCTATGACAGGAAGGCGGCAACGAATAGAGCTTACAGCGGACATTGCAACGCTCATTCGGTGCAAGCATACTTGTGACGCGACTCTTGTCCACTAAATGCCTCTTGACTTTACTCTCAGCTATGGGCTAAGCCCTGTTCAAGGTGAACTGCACTTCTAGGGGTCTGAATCGTGCAGTCCATGCTGCTAGTGGCATGTACGAACTTTTTGTTTATTTGTTTAATAGGAACCACGTGGTAAATTATTTCTCCCGTCGTGATTTCTGTCATGTGAAAGGACACCCCTGCGACATTTAGTCATTTTCTGACGCAGCGTCATAATAATCTATAGTGAAGTGTAACTTATAAAGAGTAATCTTGGGCGATAATAATTTTATACTCCGATAAACCTGTGACGCTTTCGGCGTGCTTTACCTGAGAAACACTACGTGATATCGTTGTGGATGACTCCGACAATGACGACAATAGTCATATTTCAGTAACTTTTATACCAAAGTATTCAATTCTGGTTGAAGCTGATGATGAATCATTAGTCATGTACTAACAAGAGCGCGAGTGCGATGAGATGAGGTAATGATATCGGCATGATAACGTCCATGTTTTGTTCTTAACGTTGCTGTTAGAACACACCAGGGTAAAAAAACAAAAACGGAAAGCTTTAACTTACTTCTTCCTCCACTCCTCCAGCTGCGCGAGTAACTCCTTCTGGCGCGCTGTCATCGCGTTGATCTCGTCCTGTCGGTTGCTGCCCAGCTGTCGGCACTCGTTGATCTCCGTCTCGTACTTCATCTTCAGGTGCAGCGACATGCTCGTGTACTTCTCCTGGTAGGTTCGCAGCTCGGCGAGCAGCGAGATATTCTCCGACTCGAGGTTCTTCACGTGTTCAATGTAGCTCTCGAAGCGGTTGTTCAGATGTCCGAGCTGCTTCTTCTCGACCTTGCGGTCCTGCAGGTACTCCTGCGCCTCCAGCTCGGCCTGCTGCATGGTCGTCGGCAGCATCGACGAACCAGGCGACGGGTACATGTGCGAGCGATTCGAGTAGTTGGTGATGAGGCGGCGGATCGACGCATCCATCGGCACCGTCGTGTGCGTGCCCTTCACCCACTCGTCGGTGCGGTCGTCGGTCGCGTGCACGGGACTCTCCCAGCCGACGCCCGAGTCAGCCGACTCCTCCGTCATGTCTTTGCCGTTGATGAACCTGCGGTCTTCCTCGGCCGTCCTCGTCGTCGTGAAGCTGCCGGCTTGCTTCGAGGCGCGACCCGGTCGCACGGGCGTGCTGGTCAGCCCGTCGGCGTCGCGTCCACTCTCGTAGCTCCGTGTATTCTCGATGGTCGTTTGTCGGCTGCCTGTCATCTTGCCACGGTCGGCGTGGCTGTCGCCGCCGCCGTGCTGGTGGTCGGACCGCGAGCTTCGGCTCCACATCTTCGCTCGATCCTCTTCCCCGTTGCTGCGTGCAGTGCCGTTGCTCTGCAAGCTTTTGCTGCTCCACTGCAGACCGCTGCTCCTGTTGCGATCGCCTCCCGCCGAGGAACCTTGCAGGTCGTCCATCTTTGCCGCTGCCGACGATGACGTCGACGACTTCGTGATCCTTGTTGTGCTTTCTGTCTTCACACCGGCGTCCTTGCCGTCGGTGCTCTTATCGGGACTCGGCGCGTTGCCCCATTTGAGGAGCCGGGTTCTCACCGTTGAACTCATGATTGGGTTTTACCGTACAGTAACGCTATCCGTGCGTGTATAGTCCTCCTCTAGTCGGTGGAGCCGAGGCGCATAGGCTGTTGGCGGATGTTGTCAGTTTGTATCAGAAACCTGTTTGTATATCTGCGAGAGAAGAAAGTGCTAGGCGTTATTACGCAAAATGATTCAAATGAATAGGTGATATAGATGTGATAGTTTGTTTTACAATGGTCGGAGGATAACGTTCCCGATCGGCTGTAATTTGAACCGTAGAGCGTGCCTTGTTGACCTTCCCTGACCTTTTAATGACGTCCAATCTTACCATTCATCTTTTACATACAGCGTGTGGCTAGTGATTATTCGTATTTTTTATGTACCTTACCAGGAATTGCCACCCGAGCCCATATCTACACAAATGCCAGTAGGCACTAATGTCATATCGACATTCTGGAATTGCCTTACTGACATTCATGGCCACATTTTAGGTAATGCCTGCATCTCCCCCGTGCTAGAGTTGACCTAGTGTTAATTAAACTCAGAGCTGTCACCTTACAGAAATTCACATGCTTTGATCTGCCTATACCTGACACGCCTACTTTGCGACACACCTAGTTGGACTTCTAACCCACAGGCACTTGGAGCGTTTCAATAAAATATAATGCTAAATAAATACGAAATCTATTTACTACCAAAGTCTTAATGTTTCTCTTCTGTCTTTCGCCTATTATTGCCGACAATTTCCTGTAAATGCCGTGAAAATGCTCCTCTGCAACACACATGTACACCGCATGCACGCTGCCGCACACTGACACATAAATAATAGATTTATAATAAATAGATATATATATAAATCAGGAGTAGATAAAGGGATTCCCTTTATCTACTCCTGATATAAATCCATATATTTATGTGTCAGTGTGCGGCAGTGTGCATGCGGTGTACATGTGTGTTGCAGAGCAGCATTTACACGATATTTACAGGAAATTGTCGGCAATAATACTATTAATAGGCGAAAGAAAGTAGAGAAACATTAAGACTTTGGTAGTAAATAGATTTCGTATTTATTTAGCATTATATTTTATTGAAACTCTCCAAGTGCCTGTGTTCTAACTCTCAACGCTACAGCTGCTCGGCAGTTGCTGTCTGTTAACCACGTGGGTGCGTAAGGCAAGACTAGATGAGGCGGTGAAGAAAGATGGTATATTGGGCCGGAGGTGAGACCAGGTGTTGCTGTGCCGGGGGTGGGGAAACGCACCATGGGTGGAGACAGGTAGAGTTGTGTTGAGGTGGGAAGAGGTAGAGCTGTGTCGGGGGTGGGAGCCAGGTGGGGTTGTGCCGGGGTGAGGGACGGGTTGGGCTGTTTCGACGATGGGGCGGTGAAGTTGTGTAGGGATTGGGGAGGGATAGGTAGGGTCCTGCTGTGGTAGAAATAGGTAGGGTTTTGCAAAAGGAGGGATAGGTCAGGAGTTGTGACAGGGTGGCAAGTTGGTGTGTGGCTTCGTCTCCCGTTAGGAAATCTATAGCAAAATCGCTCGTCATCTGTAGCGCTGCTATAGTCGTAGTGACTGAATGAAATTGAACAGCAGGAAGAAAGGGATGATTTATGTGTAAACATGATATATTACAATATATCAATTGCTATGTATATAGCAATTATTTCCTGCTAAAAATGCTCAAGATCCCATTTTAAACCTTGAAATTTGGAAAGGTTTCGGCCCCTATTTACAATGTTAGCTCCAGCCCACCGTCGGGTACCTGGGCATCCCATTCCTATCGTCAGAGATTTTAGTTCCCCTGTCGGGGTCCCCAGCTCATGTGACAGGCAACCATGATTGACGCCACCGCCGGGACAGCTATAGGATTTGCACCGGGGATTGAGACCAGGAACGTTGTGCTATCATTATATTTACGTTCGTAAATGGTTCCCTCGGTATAGAAAAGTGTATACGCGGAGAATCCGCCCTACACTCTACTCGTCCACGACTCTATATATCAACCCATATATACAATGACAGGCCATTCGTGCATAAACCGCGTAGCAGAGCTTATGCAGGTAAGGAAAATGGATTCCCGTTTCGTGCTGAGAGAGTTGAATACACTCGGCTCGAGGTTCGATACATTTCTGCATGCTCACGCCCAGTATGGGGGCTCACGGTGTAGAGAATGCTGGTCTGTATCCCGCCAAGAGAGCCAACAGGTCACGTCTACTTGCGTGAAGATAGAGCTTTGACCAGCGGTGATTAAATTGAGCCGCGGGTCCGCATTCTATGAGCAGCGGGTGCAATGACCAATAGTGTGTGCGGGGTAAAACTACCGTCTGATTGCCCACGCGCAGTGGTGTTTACTCTGCGTGCATCGAAGACGTTAAAAGTCAGGGTACGAGACGAAACATAAAGCATACACCGATTAATGAACCTGATCCGAGAGCAAGACTAGTCACTGCTAGTCAGTCACACTAGATTCGGACTCTTTGGGATTAACTTGTGAGCGCTGTGTCACTGGCGAGGAAATAGCATTCGGTGTGACAAGTAGAACTCTCAACTCATATATTTTTTGTGTACATTACCTTGTCATATTCAGGTATTTAGATTATAATATGGGGACTGTGACAGTAGGCTTAATTATATAATTACTCGCCTTACAAAACCCCTGCAACCATCTCCGCTGTTATAAACTTAGTTGATGTTTATAATCATTACGTTAACCGTTACACAAAGCATACTCGAGTGAGAGGGTGCATACTCACCCTAATGATAGACTAAAATAGAACAGAATGTGCTCTCTGACCCAAATTGCCATAGAACGATTCAATCATGCCCAAAATTTATACGTCTACCCTAAACACTGGCCAATCCAGGCAGGGGTCATGACGGCCATGCCCGTCCCTGTCCCAGAATCAATATACAATCAACGTCTGGGGAAAAAAAGCCATTTACGGGCATTTCAGAATTCATTTTACTTATTGCTCCCTAAATTTAGTGCTTACTATAGGGTGTCAGAAACTTTAATCGGAGGCGCTAAAATGCGCGACTGGGCCACGTTGGGAAAACCTATTACAACGCTCCCAAGCCCCCCCCCAATATCATAGATACCGATAGTCGATTAACGTGACTCGGTTAGGTAACGATATCCCCCCCCCCCCCCCCCACACACACACCATCCTCTCGCAGGTGGCTGTGGGCATCCATTCCTAGATGCAAAAATTACACTAAAAAAGTCGAGACCATCTACACATCGTTGTGCAAGTGTCAGAAGACTTATCCATGATTAGATCGCATATACATATATATATATGTATATGTATATGTATATATATATATATATATATATATATATATATATATATATATATAGTGTATCAAGCATCGCCATAGCGTCACGTACAGGGTGAGAATTGTGAGTTCGTGAATTCATGCTCTAATTTACACGGATAATGATCTCTATAAGCGATATGGAAACTCAATCGAGAGGAAGTGCAGTTTGAATGTGTGTATATCGAAGCACACAATGTCATGGTTATGGCTTTTATCACGAAATGCGTAGCCATTTTCTGAACACGGCCTGTACCATGTCAACGTGTTACACGTACTACATAGCCTAGCTTACCATACGGCGTTGCATCTCGAGTCAAAACATTCCACCGTACGTTGATCAAGGGAACACACGCGCGCACACACACATACGCAAGGTACAGATGGGCGAAGAAACTTTTCTCTCGTGCAGCCGGGTTGCACGCGTTCCGCGCCAAAAAGCGAGTGTAACCTGTACCTCTACGGACCTCTCGCTTACACTCTTTCCTGAACCAGCAGTAACCGCGTTACGCTAATAGCCTACGAAACGGCAGAGGTACACACAGCGAACTGCTGACTAACGCACGAGCGCTGAGCGAGAGACGGGTCCCGCAGGAACAGAGATGTTCGCTACTTTCTTAGCAGTCTGCCAAAGTTTGCGGGCAATGGCGGAGAGAGTGGAAGTTTCATGGATGAGAGAATTTAGTTCATGGCTGCGCGTCGGGGCCAGTCTACGTCCGCGCGCGATTACAATTCCTATGCGGCGCATACGACAGCAGACAGAACAGCGTGGAAATCCAACGCTGGCGTCAACTAAGAGTGGAAATAGATTTCTCAAATAGGTGTAACCACGCCGGCTAACTGGCCAATATGTGTGCCCGCGCGAGTTTTACCTCTGGCGTTAGAAGTCTTTTGTGCAGAAACGCTGATCCGCCTTATTGTAAACGCGGAGAATTTCATCGGGACTCACATTGAGTGCATGCGCGGGTGTAGGTTCGTGTGACCGCGTGATAAAAACAGACGACATGGACGAAAATGTCGCACACTCGTTAATGTATAGATTCTATGAAAAATACTTGTAAAATTATTATCAACAAATATTCTTAGCAGTATAGACTGGTATCTAATTTTAACCCAATTGCCTTAGGGTAACGAGAACTTCGACGGTTGATTTCCAGCGTTTGTAGCCACGGTTTTGTGTATCAAGCATACTAATTACCTTTCTTTGTCATCATCAGCAAATGTTACGCACTGTAAACACGAGGGCCGATTCAACACAACGCACAAGGATAGTCGCTCTGGTTTCGTATACAAGTAGGCATAATAACATTTAATAATATTAACATGACGAGGAAGCAGTTGGTAAAATGCGAATCTAACGTATAGAACACATTATATTACGGCAGGTTTCTGCGTATTATAGTTACTTTATATACACTTATATAGAAGTGTGGTGTGCTTGGTTGAACGCAGTTTCGGTATTTCTTGCTCCATTCTCTCGTGGTGACACACACCATACGCTCCTATTTCACTGTAAGATTCCTATAGACGTGTAAAATGTAGCGCGTGGAATAGCAAACAAGGCGGAAGTGTGAAACTGGAGCACTAAAATCTACAATATGTATTCACCGTATGTTAAAAAGAACATTCGACGTATTCCGTGACTTTAAACAAGCGTCCGTTTGCCTTTGTAGTGACCGTCGGTATACCCGTGTTTCAACATACTTTCACAGTGCTCGAAATCTGCGCTCACTCGATATCGTAGAGAGACTCAACTGAGAGACAATGGAGACAATAGATGCCCGCAGGTTACTGTGTGCCGAATACATGGTCAGCATTAGCAGAACGTAGTGTGTTCGATGCGTCGACATGGATTTAAAACGACGTTCAGAATGACATGGCAAAGGAAAATAGTTAATAGTGTGTGCTGCCCGTGCACGCTGCTGCCAGGCCGCTTTTATGTTAGAGAGACAGACGTTTGTGAGTGAAGAAGTACAATAGCCTTAGCTATTTGCTCGTTCTATCTGAATCTCCCGGTTATAGGTTTTATATTACGATTCTGTTTATTTTGCGCACAATATGCACACGTTATTTCTTTGTATCTTTTTGCGTTTTATCGTCAATCCTTCGTGTAAAAAATGAAGCCTGTGTGCACTAATTTCATCAATAAATTCTGTGGCATAAACAGTCGCACCCCCACGGAAGGAGAGCGAGAAAGAGGGAGAGAGAATGAAAGAGAGAAAGAGTCAGAGATAGAAACAGACACACGTGCACGAGCGCATCCATCCACAAACGCGCACGCATGGCTGAGCGTTAATGTAAGTTAAGCCTACCATGAAATTCTGTGACAGGTATGTATACTGAGTGTTCAAATCTCGGGTAATAAAAGAATAAAATTTTATATTTGCCTTGCCGTTTGACTTCTACATTAGCGACCGCCCGACGACCGATGTTTGCCCATGATCCCTGTTGCATTTAGTTTTGCCGCCAGGGTCCGCGCTCTCTGTATCAACACGCTGTGGATAGACGCGGTTTGCTTGGCTGGCCGCGCACCTAAGTTTGGCGTGCAAAAACACTGATACGCACCTGCGTGCCACAGCTATGTTTCACGTCCGCATACATCGTTTCTTCGCTTTAGATACTCGTAGAAAGTAAAATGCCAATGCTCCCTGTGGCTGTGGAATCTGGGATCTCAGGCAGTTTATTGGCTTAGGTGAATGGCGCGAAGACGTAATTCGATGTTGGGATTGTAGTCAAGAGCGGACTGTCGATGTGCGCACTAATGCTAATTGAACAGGAAATATGTTACTATGAGCGCGTCGTTTGCTGTTATAATTAGTGGCCGTAATTAATGGCTGTTTAATGGCATATGAATTAGCTGGGCTCTGGTTACCATTCGCGCCGTCTTGGTTATGGATTTCCCCATATGTATATAAAACATTTTAGTAGTATCTTACATTGAGTCCAAAATTTCTGAAAGTTTAGAACAACGGTGTGCATTATTTATTAACCAATACAATCCGTAGCATCTCGTTAGTAACTGTAGAGATGTAGTTTTAATTAGCGGTCAGATGAATTGTTCACACGCACATACGCAAGACCACCCGCTCGCCCGCTTTTCGCTCGCTCGCTCGCACGCACGCACGCTCGCACGCACGCACGCACACACCGCACGCGCACACACATTGCGTTAACAAACTAGCGCTTTAGCAAGTTCCTCTCGTTGTAAAGAATCGTTATTTTGTATATTGACGTCCAGTGAACCTCTGACTATTCTAGGGCACACCGCTCTAGCTTAAAATTGCCACACCCGTAGAATCAATTTCAGAAAGACAGCCGTACAATACAATAAATCCTGTCACTATCCTGTTGTGATCGCATGACCGGTGTGCTCCATACAGATAGCAGACAGTACATCAGCGATTAGCAGATGCCTAGCTCAAGATACAATCGCACGCTTCAATTCAGAAAGTTGCAAAGATGCTCGCGATAAAAATATTCTCTACATTCCTTTGCATGCGTACGTTGTGTGCATCTTGCCTTTTTCTTCTAAACGAGACCCTGTCAACAACGGTTTGCCCGTTTGTTACGACCGACAAATTTGCATGTCGAATGGTGGTGGGCGATATCGTACTGAAATTATGAAGTGCATATGTGCGTGCGCGCGTGCATTCGTACGTGCGCGTGCGTGTATGTCTGCGTGCGTGTGTGCGGTGGGGCGGGCGTGCGTGCGGGTGCGGTTCGCATTCACCTGTTTACGAATTCGGTCACGCCCTGCTAGCAACAGCACCTACCGTGAGGATTGGGCGGGTCGCAGTGAGAGAGGACCTTAGGCGCAAAACTTCAGGAATGTTCGCGGAAAATGTATATGTTAGAACAGCAACCGGGCAAAATACCAGGGAACAATAGGTACATTCTGTGAAACCGAATGGCAGTTTTGGCGGCGTTGGACTTAATAGAAGCGTCGTCTATTACTCAGTGCCACAGTTGTAGAAGGGAACAGAAAAAGGCGAAAACGAGAACGGGGACAAAAGAGGAAGACACCCCGACGACTATGTGAGGTGGCGGACTAGGCGGGAAGAATAGAATGAAAATTGATCAAGAATCGATCGTCACGCCCTGCTAGCAACAGCACCTACCGTGAGGATTGGCGGTCCGCAGTGAGAGATGACCTTAGGCGCAAAACTTCAGGAATGTTCGCGGAAAATGTTATGTTAGAACAGCAACCGGCGGCCAAAATACCAGGGAACAATAGGTACATTCTGTGAACCGAATGGCGAGTTTTGGCGGCGTTGGACTTAATAGAAGCGTCGTCTATAACTCAGTGCCACACGTTGTAGAAGGAACGAAAAGGCGAAAACGAGAACGGGACAAAAAGGAAGACACCCGCGACGACTATGTGAGGTGGCGGACTAGGCGGGAAGAATAGATGAAAATTTGACAGAGAGAGAGAGAGAGAGAGAGAGAGAGTGAAACAGAGAGAGTGAGCGACAGGATATAGAGTGAAGGGGGCATGAGAGAAAGAGAGAGAGAGCGCAGAAAGAGAGAGAGAGAGAAAGAGAGAGAGAGAGAGAGAGACACACACACACACACACACACACACACACACACACACCACATACAGAAAGAGGAGAGAGGGGGAGGGAGAGAGAAAGAGAGAGAGAGAGAGAGAGGGGGGGAGAAAGAGATAAAGAGAGAGAAAGAGAGAGAGAGAGAGAGAAGAGAGAGAAAAGAGAGAGAGAGGAAGAGAGGAGGGGGGAGGAGAAAGAGAAGAGAGAAGAAGAGAGAGAGAGAGAGAGAGAGAGGAGAAAGAGAGAGCGAGAGAGAGAGAGAGAGAGAGAAGAGAGAGAGAGAGAGAGAGAGATGAGAGATAATTGCTAGTTATTTCCCATCTCATTTGGCGGTCTGGTTTCCTCCCTTCTTTTCGCATACTCTCAGGAAATATTTTTTGTCTTCCGGACTGCTTTCTACTCTCTCCTTAGCAATCTCATATTTTCATCTTGCCATCACACCCTCTTCTTATTGCATCGCTCGCTTCTCCCTGCCCAACCACTGTTCTTTTGCTGCTCTACGCCAGTGGTTCTTAACCCTTTTTGAGTCATGGACCCTTTTGAGAATCTGGTGAAAGCTACCTCTTCCCAGAAAATCACATAACAGCATGAACACAAAATTTTTATGCGCTTGGTTCACGAACCAAAGGGTCCATGGATTACAGGTTTAACAGTAAATATAAGCCCTGCTCTACGCCCTATAGATATTTTTCACATAAATTTTTACATTAAATTCGTGTAGAACGCAAACGACCGTAGTTGTTCGGACACACTACGATGACTATTGACACTCTATATTACTTGGGATGGCACATACACACAGCACACGCCCCACGGTGTACAAATTTGGCATGTTTAAAATCAGCTATTGTGAGCAGCGAACTTAATTGTGCGCACCAGGTTTGTGGTGACTTTTGTAGATATTTCTAACCAGGTCGAATAGCGTGAGTAGACGTGTGAATGCGAGTGCGCATTTTTTTGTTGTGTGAGCATGTATGACGGCATTTACTTGGTGAAGGTCGCTTTAGCTTAGACGCCAGTCAGTGCCGACGGCGGGGCTGTTTGCATAAAAAAGTACCTTTAGT